ATGTGCACACAAACACATATACACATGTGAGTGTGCACACAGATCAAGTCATGGTCATTCCAGTGTTAATAAGTACTTACTGGCCGCAAGTACTACAAAAACAACTTGATGTAATTTAAGCATAAGGGTTGCTTAGTAGTAGTAAGCAGGAAGACCAGACTCACAGACTCCCTACTGTATGGATGCTTTAGCATCTTACAGAAAGGGCTGAGGACTAGGACCTGAGAAGTCGTTATAAACTTTGACAACACTCTCTTTTGTCTCTCATTCTGCATTTCTCAGTGTATCTGCTTTGTTTTTCTCTGTATTTCTCTGGTCCAGTTTTCCTGGTAATAATATAGAAGATGGCTGCCCTCAGAGCCTCTCATTTTTTACATCTTCTTTAAGAAACCAGCCCAATCTCAACTGAAATCTTCTATTCTGAATTCTGTGTATCTGAGAGATGGGCAGGTAGGTCCTCTGGCACTATCAGCTGTGTCTAGAGGATTGAAGTACAAACATGCCTGCTGGGGGTCATTGTGTATACATCATTGTGAGCTGAACAGGTACCCTGAAGGAGTACATTGAACATCCTACACTTTGGCTGCCCATGGTCCTTCCTCCATAACAAACACATCCTTGTTCCTATTTATAAATTCTAAAGATGTTCCCGGTGATGCATTCTGTTCCTAGTAATGAATCCTAGCTATACTGAAACCAAATTCTTCTTTCTCTCTCTCTCTCTCTCTCTCTGCCTCTTCCCTTTTCTTTCTACCTCTTCTTTAGATTTATTTCCTTTCTTCCATTCCTTGCCTTAAAAAAAAATCTACTTCCTACCTTCATATATCTTTCCTTCCTAACTAATCCTAATATTGAATTAAAGCACACTTAAAATACATTGCTCATATATGTCTTTAATTCTTATAGAATTTAGAATTTATTTTTAATATGGTATGGCATTAGGATTCTAACTTTTTAAAATAGATAATTAACCAGGGAACTATTTCTTGAATATGCCATTGTTTTCTTCTTCATTTGTAATGACAATGATGATGATTATTATTGAGAGGTTGCTATGGGCAAGGCAGTGTTTTGAGAGCTTTACCTATACTTAAATTCCTAGTTGTGTTTCTTGAATAAAGGTCTTCCTCATTTTGGCCGGACACAGTAGCTTATGCCTGTAATCCCAGCACTTTGGAGATGCCAAGGCAGAAGGATCGCTTGAGGCCAGGCACTTGAGAACAGCCCTGGCAACATAGCAAGACCTTGGTATCAAAAAAAAAAAAAAAAAAAAAGCTGGCTGTGGTGGCATGCACCTATAGTCCTAGCTACTTGAAAGGATCGCTTGAGCTCAGGAGTTCAAGACTCCAGTCAGCCACTGCTCTCCAGCCTGGGCAACAGAACAAGCCTCTTGTCTCTAAATTTTAAAAAGAAGTCTGCTATAACAGGATGTTTTAGAAAAAAAGAAGAAGAAGAAGAAGAAGTCCTCATTATTAGGCATTTAGAAATAACCTCATTCTTAGCATATTAAAAAGTAAAAAGTTGCTTTTCCACTTAGGTCCCCAATTTTTTATCTCTCTGGGAATTAAGAATCTCTCATAAAAACAAGTGCCCTGCCTTCAACTTTAAGACTGGAAGAGGAGTTAGTGAGACCAAGAAATTCCACTTTTCTACTTCTCACCAGGGATGTTACTTATAGGTGTCTTTCAGGTTGCAGAAAAGATGGAAAAAAGGACATGTGCACTCTGCCCCAAAGATGTCGAGTATAATATCCTGTACTTTGCACAATCAGAGAATATAGCTGCCCATGAAAATTGTTTGGTAAGTTATTTGAAAGCATACTTCAAAGTATATGAGTACTTTTAGAGTAGGACACACAAGAATACATAAATGACACTTTAGATACAAAGAAAAACAAGTTGGCCATGGTTTGGGTTTTTAAAGGTGAAGATTGGGGAGCATGTTTTTCTGATTTTGAACTTTTTCAGAACTTATCACATATGATTACTGTTAGTTTTACTTACAAGGGGTTAAATGCACAAAGAGAAAGAATTGTGGTAAAGAAACTCTTTATAGATATTTTAATGAAATACTAAGAACATAACAACTCCGATAGACCTTCTACCCAGATATAATTTCTATCAAAGTCTATAGAGTTCTGAGATTTATCCATGTTGGTAAACATAGCTCTAAGCCTTTCATTTTAAGTATAATGTTCCATTTCATGACTATGTCACCATTAACTATTCTGTGAATGGGCATTTAGTTTTTCCAGTATTGTTTTCTATGACTAACGTTGTCATGAACATTCTTGTCTAGGTTTCCTTTTCATATGAGAATTTCCCTAGTCTAGGCTATATAGCTAAGAGCAGAATTGTTAGGTACAGGGATGGGGTGTTTTGTACTTCACTAAATTTGCCAAATTGTTCTTCAAAGGGATTGTACCATTTAATATACCTAACTTATTAGCAGTGTGAGAACTGACTAATACACAAGGACATTCTCTTACACTATAACAATATAAATGTCAAAATCAAGAAATTTTGTTATACTGCTACCATGTATTCTTCAAAATCACCTGTTATACTAATATCGTGTGCGTGTGTGTGTGTGTTTTTTTTTTTTGAAAAAGGGCCTCACTATTGCCCAGGGCTGGAGTGCAGTGGCATCATCATGCCTGACTGCAGTCTTGACCACCTGGGCTCAAGTGATTCTCCCACCTCAGCCTCCAGAGTAGCTGGAAGTACAGGCATGTGCCACTGTGCCCAGCTAATTTTTTGTACTTTCTGTAGAGATGGAGTTTTGACATGTTGCCCAGGTTGGTATCCAACTTTTGGGCTCAAGCAATCCTCCCACCTCAGCCTCCCAAAATGCTGGGATTACAGGCGTGAGCCACCACACCTGGCCTAATAACATTTTTTACAACAAAAGATTTTAGCTCATGAGTTGCCTTTTGTTTTCATGTCTTAAGTTTTTTCGCTTTATTTGGTTAATAATTTGTGTTGTACTTATGTATTTTTTCTGCTCTGAAGCCATTCTTATATTAACATGGTTAAATGTTGATGTTTTATTTTTATTTATCTATTTGAGCAAGGTCTCCCCAGACTAGAGTGCAGTGGCATAATCAAAGCTCATTGCAGCCTTGAACTCCTGGGCTTAAGCAATCCTCCCACCTCAACTTCCTAAGTAGCTAGGACTACAGGCACATACACCATACCCAGCTAATTTTTAATTTTTTTTTTTTTTTAGAGATGGGGGTCTAGCTATGTTGCCCAGGCTCACTTCGAACTCCTGGCCTCAAGTGATTCTCCTGTCTCAGCCTCCCAAAGTGTTGGGATTACAGGCATAAGCCACTGCTCCCAGCCCCATCATGATATTTTTATTCTAATATACAGTTGATATTGATTTGCTACTATTTTTTAGTTAACTTTATTGGCATAATTTACATAAAACCAAATGTACCCATTTTGTGTCCAATTCAGAAAGTTTTGAGACATGTAACCATATGAGACCCATGTAACCACTTCAACAGTCAAGATATAAACATTTCCATTACCCCAAAGGGTTTCCCCAATGCTCTGTGCAATCAATTCCTTCCGACCGCAAGTCCCTATAAATTTGTCTTATATTTTCTCAGATTTCATATTAAAGGAATCCTGTAGTTGTCCTCTTTTGTATCAGTTCCTTTGTTCAGTATACTGTTTAGATACATCCATGTTGCATGTATGTGTATCTTGTTCCTTTTTCATTCTTCATAGTACTCAATTGGTATGCATTATCACAATTTTTTTATTCATTCATTTGTTGATAGTCGTGTTATTTCCAGTTTGGAGCTCTTATGATAAAAATCAGCTATGAGCATCTGTATATGAGTTTTTCTATCTTCATTTACGTCTTTTATAAATTTCAAAATTATTCAATAATTTTTATCTGTAGCGGAATAGAACTTGGGGTTAGATATAGTCCTGGGCTTGTTTTTTGTTTTGTTTTGTTACTTTTTTCTAAAGCCTTTTTAAATGAGCTATTATCAGTATATATGAACACTATTGATTTTTAGTTATTGATCTAATCCAGCAACCTTACCAAATTCTTATTAGTTCTAAAAAGTCTCTAGATTTACCTGGATATATTGTATGCAAACAATCCTCAACTTTAAATAAAGATAATTTTATTTCTTTACCTTTAATATGAGGGACTCAATCTCTTTTTCTTGTTTGATTGTGTTTCTCTTAGGTAAATAGCTGGAAGTAGAATTACTGAGTCATAAAGTGAGTGTATGTTTAACTTTAAAAGTGATTGCATTATTTTACATTTCTACCAGTGGTATGTAAGACTTTCATTTGCTCCTCATCCTCATCAACACTGGGTATTTTCAGTATTGTTATTTTAGCCAGTCTAGTAGATATATATTCCATCTCTCTATGGCTTTAATATGCCTGACAGTTAATGATATTAAACATCTTCTCATGTGCTTATTTGCCATTCATAAACCTTCTTTCATTAAGTGTCTGTTCACATTTTTTGCCCACTTTTAATTGATTTGTCTTATTGAGTTGTGTTTTCTAAATTCTTGATATAAGCCTTTTGTTAAATTAATTATTATACTTTGAGTTCTGGCATACAAGTGCAGAATGTGCAGGTTTGTTACCTAGGTATACACGTGCTATGGTGGTTCGGTGCTATGGTGGTTCGCTGCACCCATCAACCCGTCATCTACATTATGTATTTCTCCTAATGCTGTCTCTCCCCTAGCCCCTACCCCCAGCAGGCCCCAGTGTGTGATGTTCCCCTCCCTGTGTCCATGTGTTCTCAATGTTCAACTCCCACTTATGAGAGAGAACATGAAGTGTTTGGTTTTCTGTTCTTGTGTTAGTTTGCTGAGTTTGATGGTTTCCAGCTTCATCCATGTCCCTGCAAAGGACATGAACTTATCCTTTTTTATGTCTGCATAGTATTTCATGGTGTATATGTACCACATTTTCTTTATCCTGTCTATCCTTGATGGACATTTGGGTTGGTTCCGAGTCTTTGCTATTGTAAATAATGCTGCAATAAATATACATGTATGTGTGTCTTTATAGTAGAATGATTTATACTCCTTTGAGCATATACCCAGTAATGGGATTGCTGGGTCAAATGGTGTTTCTGGTTCTAGATCCTTGAGGAATTGCCACACTGTCTTCCACAATGGTTGACCTAATTTATACTCCCACCAACAATGTAAAAGCATTCCTGTTTTTCCACGTCCTCTCCAGCATCTGTTGTTTCCTGACTTTTTAATGATCACCATTCTTTTTTTTTTTTCCATTTATTTATTTTATTGCATTTTAGGTTTTGGGGTACATGTGAAGAACATGCAAGATTGTTGCATAGGTACACACGTGGCAGTGTGATTTGCTGCCTTCCTCCCCATCACCTACATCTGGCATCTCTCCCCTTGCTATCTTTCCCCAACTACCCACCCCCCACCATCCCTCCCCTATTTCCCCCCAACTGACCCCAGTGTGTAGTGCTCCCCTCCCTGTGTCCATGTGTTCTCATTGTTCAACACCCACGTATGAGTGAGAACATGCGGTGTTTGATTTTCTGTTCTTGTGTCAGTTTGCTGAGAATGATGGTTTCCAGGTTCATCCATGTCCCTACAAAGGTCACAAACTCATCGTTTTTGATGGCTGCATAATATTCCATGGTGTATACGTGCCACTGATCACCATTCTAACTGGCGTGATGTGGTATCTCGTGGTTTTGATTTTCATTTCTCTAATGACCAGTGATGATGAGCTTTTTTTCATATGTTTGTTGGCTGCATAAATGTCTTCTTTTGAGAAGTGTCTGTTCATATCCTTTGCCCACTTTTTGATGGGGTTGTTGTTTTTTTCTAAATTTAAGTTCTTTGTAGATTCTGGATATTAGCCTTTCATCAGATGGATAGATTGCAAAAATATTCCATTCTGTAGGTTGCCTGTTCACTCTGATGATAGGTTTTTTTTTTTGCTGTGCAGAAGCTCTTTAGTTTAATTAGATCCCATTTGTCAATTATGGCTTTTGTTGCCATTGCTCTTGGTCATTAAGTCTTTGCCCATGCCAAGTCCTGAATAATATTGCTTATGTTTTCTTCTAGGGTGTTTATGGTTTTAGTTCTTATATTTAAATCTTTAATCCATCTTGAGTTAATTTTTGTAAGGTGTAAGGAAGGGGTTTTCTGCATATGGCTAGACAGTTTTGCCAACACCATTTATTAAATAGGGAATCCTTTCCCCATTGTTTATTTTTGTCAGGTTTGTCAAAGATCAGATGGCTGTAGATGTGTGGTGTTATTTCAGAGGCCTCTGTTCTGTTCCATTGATCTATATATCTGTTTTGATACCAGTATCCTGCTGTTTTGGTTATTGTAGCCTTGTAGTATAGTTTGAAGTCATGTAGTGGGATGCCTCCAGCTTTGTTCGTTTTGCTTAGGATTGTCTTGGCTATGCAGGATTCTTTTTGGTTCCATGTGAAATTTAAAGTAGTTTTTTTCTAATTTTGTGAAGAAAATCAATGGTAGCTTGATGGGGATAGCGCTGAATCTATAAATTACTTTGGGCGGTATGGCCATTTTCACAATGTTGATTCTTCCTATCCATGAGCATGGAATGTTTTTCCATTTGTTTGTGTCCTTTCTTATTTCTTTGAGCAGTGGCTTGTAGTTCTCCTTGAAGAGGTCAATCACATCCCTTACAAGTTGTATTCTTAGATATTTAATTCTCTTTGTAGCAATTGTGAATGGAAGTTCACTCATGATTTGGCTCTCTATTATTCATGAATAGGAATGCTTGTGATTT